GCTGCTGTTCTTTCACAACTTCACTGGGAGAGTTGGGGAGGGCAGAGGGTTTAAGGGTTCGGGGGTTTAGGCTTCTAGTGTAGGCTTGGGATCTAAGGGGAGGGTTCTGCGGTTACGGGTTTGGGGTTTATGGTGTCTCACAGCGCCAGAGCTTTGCAAAACTGCAAACAGAAAGCGCAAGCATTCCAGGCAATAGAACGTACCATAGCCACGTAAGTTACTACTTGCATCAGCTCTGTGCACTCTCGAAGCCACCCCCAAACCTTCATAGAGTGGCGAGCCATAGTTTATCTAAGCCACAGGCCCCCAGGGATGGCAACATGAGGAAAGGCCTTGTTCATGGCCTTAGTTTGTCTCCAGTAAGCTTGTGGCATAGGGCTGAAGTAACAGGATTAGTGGATGCGGGCTATTCAGGCATGTGTTCATAAAGGCTGCAATGGTTTCGGTGTCAAGCTTGTTCTGTTGGGACCACCTTGTGCCAAACAGCCCTGGATACAGAATCTAGCTGGGGGCGTGTATTCTACGCCTGAAAGGAAGCTGATGCAGGTCTGGCTAGCTTGCAATTGGCCAGTTCCTGCTGGCCAACCCCTGTGCCGCTGCTGTGCATGTGGCTGCAAGCCAACAAACGCTCAGACGTACTCAAGTCTAACAAACCCTAGGGATCAAAATAGCCCAAAAGCCTTTCCTACGATGGTCTTTCGGCCCAAAAGCCTTGATATATGAGTCCTTAGATCCCTAGGGAAAGAAGCTGAGCGAGTGAGAGGTTAACCAACCCTCCAGAACCGTCAAGCAAAGCGGGGCCGGGCCAGAAACCGTGAATCTCGAACCAGACACGGTTTGGGGTTTAGGGTTTAGAGATTTGGGTTTTTGGTTTAGGGTGGGTCTCGGGTTTGGGGTTTATGGTTTAGGGTAAAACCTCTCTTCTGCTGCTGCCAGTTCCTTCCCGAGACTGTACCAAAAATGACAGAACCTTAGCCAATAACGGACTGACCGAGTTGCGGCAACTGCCATCTTCAGCCGCAAACAGACAGCAACAAACACGACAGGATGAACTCAACACAATAATCAAACAACAGTGTTTATTTCTTCTGCATCGCAAGTACTCTGGTAACTTGCATGAAAACCCACGCCAAACCCTAAACTCCTGAATTTATTCCCATAATCTGAGTCCGCGGCTCTTCCACAAACTAAGGGACGCAGGCGCAGCTCAAACGTGCGTGGCGCTGAGAGCCCGTCCAGATCAGGAGACATGAGGTTCAGGACACAGTAAAGTAATATGACTATCCTAAACCCTTTATGGTAAGTTATAGGGTATCCTACCCTGAAACCATATTCCAACTTTCTGGAGTTCCCTGTAGGGTTCAGGGTCAGGGTTCCATCAGATGTGCATTGCCCAAGAGGAGTTCAGGGTTTGTAGTACAGGGGGATTTTGGGAGGTAGGGGCTTCCTCCACCGATATGTCAGGATGTAGTAACTAGTCGGTCCGAGCAGTTGCGAACTGTTGCTTTATTGGGAGCAGGTGCTGGATCTTCTCCGAATGTTGCTCCTCGTCAGCTTTTACATAAAGCCGTGCTTTGCCTGCACGTAGCCGCTGCAAGCAATTGCAAGCTTATTGCACGCCACATACTGTCGTGAAAGCTTCAGTCTCCTCACTAACGTCGCAAACATGATGACTCTTTCACGGTTTAGTGGTTACCTCAACTCACCCCCAAGAACACAAAGCTCCTCGATGCTTGTACACCACCACGAGAAAAGAGGAATTTATGAATGATGAGATCTCGGTAAGCTACATAGAGGTTCCAAGACCCAATCTAATCGTTCTTCCTGACCATTCCTTCTTCTTCGTGATTATTCCATTTGTATCTGTGTATGTATGTATATATATATATATATATACGTATCTGTGTACATCAATATATACATACATAAATAAATAAGTATATGTATGTATATATATATATATATATACATATATACATATAGGTACACACACACACACAGTATCTCTGTGTGTGTGCGTGCGTGTCTAGTTATACGTATGGAAAGAAGTCTATGGCACCACTTACAGGATATTGCGGACCACCGGCTTGACACTGAAACGCCAGAATCCAGTTTTTAAGGAACTCAATACAGAAACTCTAACCTATACTGAACTTAGAACCCTAGCAAAATTATACTTTTAGATGTTTCTTAGGGATTATAATAATCAAACATTAAAAAATGCTTCTAAGTACCCCTAAGTAATAAGGAACCCTCAAAAGGTGGGCCTTACCGGCTTCAGCTCATGCTCAAGATCTTTCGAAATGTGGCTGAACCCATTTATGCCTGAAATCTCAAATGCCATGGCTGCAATCTACCAAACTGGGAAGAGCTCAATTTTCCAGAAATAACTGCATAAATTCAGCATAAGTCGGGAGCACCGCGCGTGAAACATACGCAACTGGCTTGGAGTCCATTTTGGCGATGGGACGCAGTCGTTGAAGGCTTTGGGCGAACAGCTTCGAGAGCAGAAGTCTTGATCAAACATATATATTGGTGAGGAGTTGTGGGTTGTGGAGCCCGAGTCCAAAACAAGAGTCTCTCAACCTTATTCGCACTCTCCCTCACAAACTTTTGCAAACTAGAGATGGGCAGCTGTTGGACCCCAATGAAAAAGGCGCGGCTTGGCAAGTATTTTGCCCTGCCTCTGCGCGAATAAGATGTGGAGAAGCACGGAGACAGTTTGGGGCACTTTCTCAGCCGTGTACCAGCCAAAGGAACCCCAAATCTCTGCAATCCCGAGACCTTATGTAGATATTCTTGGAGTGTAAGGACGATGTTGGAGATGTTCAAGCTGTCGGTTTGAGTCGGGACATTCCCTGAAGGGACTTCAGGAGCAAAGGCTGCAACCCAGCTCTGCCTCCTGTTGAATTAATCCATGCTTAGAGGATCATGCGACTTAGTAAGTAGGTTATAACTGGGGTTATAAGTCCCCTAAGTGGGGTTATCCTAACTATAACCTACTTATAACCCTACTTACTAAGTCCCATGATCCTTGAAGTGCTGTCTGATCCTCACATCGGATATGAGGTGAGCCACGGCTGTTCAATGATGCTTGGGCATTTTCTTGAAGACCTCAGCTCACAATAGTACAGGGAACTCCAGAAAGTTGGAATATGGTTTCAGGGTCGGATACCCTATAATTTACCATAAAGGGTTTAGGATAATAATATTCCAACTTTCTGGCTTTTACTTTAGCATTAGACACCCGCTGGACCCAGACAAGCCACAGGCCTCAACCGTGAAACCCTTTAGTTGGCACGAAACCCTACACCCTCAATGCCCCATTCTGGGAGCCTAAACCAAAGCCCCAGACTCTAAAAGCCCTGAGCCCTTGGTATTACAATTTATCTTCTTCTGCGTTTCAGGAAAGGGTTCAGGGCGAGATACTTTGAAGTTTGCGGGTCGTTGTAAACTCGCACCCCAAACCCTATCACTCCAAACCCATGGAGCCCCTGAGCCCCCTTTCAGCACGGGGCTTTGGGTGTATGCCGGCAAGCAAGCCCTTTGACCCCAAACCGAATTCCCTGGCTTGGCGATTGCCGTGGTGCTCCGAGAGCCCAGCCACAGCAGCTCAAAAAAGCCGTGAAATCAAAGACCTCTTGCGACGACTGCTTCCTGAGAGGGCTTTAGGGTTTAGAGATTAGGATTGGGATTTTTCCCTCCTACTTGGCAAGGACGAAGCCCGCATTGTTGGGATTGGGATTTGGGTTCGGGGCTGCTTTACGGCCATCGGGCTTGACTTCTTACTGCTGCCGTTGCTAGGCTTCTGAAGTTTGGGTTTAGGATTTACTATACTGAACTTAGAACCCTAGCAAAATTTATAATTTCAGCTGTTCCTGTAGGATTATAATAACAAAAAAGTAGAAATTATTTCTAAGTACCCCTAAGTTGAGGGTTTCAAGATCCGTCTATTCGTTCTGGAAGAACGCGCGGGAGGCTGCCAGGCGATGAGCAATTCTCAAGAGGAGTTCAATTTGGGAGCTTCCGAAAATTGGGGACCCTAATAAAGGACTCTAAATAATAGGATCTTTATTATAAGGACCCCAAAATAAGGCACCCCCCAATTTTCGGAAACTCCCATTTGATGGGGTACCAGGCCTCTAAAGTCCGGGTTTGGGGGGCTAGTGAAGGTGTACTGGGCACTTGTAATTCTTGAGCGTCTGTTGCTGCAAGGGGGATTGCGCAACGGCCAGTCCTTGCGAGACAGACCGCAAAGCAGCAGCAATCACAAACACCAGCATCAACAGTATCGCTCAAACAACCAGGACCCTCCCTGTACCCTCAGATAGGGGTATATGGTCCCAAATTAGGGGCATTTAGGGTTTGATGGAGGGTAGATGGAGGGTTTAGGAAGTGCTGCTTCTCTCTGTCTCTCTCCTTCCCACGGTGCCATCCTAAAGGGTCTGGCGGAGCGAGGTCTTTTAGCATATCACGGTTTCGGTGGGGCACCTAGTTCCGATCTAGTTCGAGACTTCAGAAGTGGTTTTTTTAAAAAACATGTCATGTACCCACTCCTGAAGGGCCGAATAAACCAAGAAGGGTCGACTAAAAGTACAAACATGTACATTAGGGCGCCGTGGCATACACGGTAGAACGACTGCATGGCAACCGGCTCAATCGAACAACCGAAGCTGCATAGCCTGCCTGACTCTCGCGGCGGTTGACCATCGACATCGCGAGCCTTGCGTTTACGTAGACAGGCACAAAAAGCGACTGCCTCATCTTTGCAGCACTTGCAACACGACACTGGCGGATCCTGCTTTTAAAGCGACACCTGGGTTCACAAGTTCGAGTGCTCCTACGAGTACTGCGACAACTACAATGGCAGCATCGCCGGCCTGCAAGCAAGCCACGCAAATACAGGGTCCTTGATAATTAGAGTAAGGTTTTGAGGACAATATACTATAGTTATAGTAAGCAATTGTTTAGGGCCCTATAGTAGGCACGTTATATCCAACCTGGGAGTCGGCGACGCCGTACTGCTGGCGCGCGTACGCAGCCAGGGGGCGTCTCGACCTCTGGGCACTCTCGTAGCCCTGTAAGCGAGGGGCATCAGTGGAGATTCCAGACCAAGGTCTCGCAAGGATGACGATGTTTCTGGCGTCCCACTAGCCAAGAACTCCGCCGGAAACCAACGGTTGCTGGCTAGGCTGTGGTTATCCACATGTCTCGCGCCTTCTCAGATCACCTAGCAACTGGCAACAAAACTGTGAAGAAAATGCTCGAACACCAAACAACTACAGAGGCTTACTGTTCATGCTCTGTACAGAATTCGGGTGTCGAGTCTTCAGTCCCAGGGTCATCTGGCTGTGCAGGTGACTCAACCCTTCCGCAAATTTTCACTCTGGCGGATGCAAAACTAGCTCCTTGCGTATTTCTCCGAGTGAGTGCTGAACTATCCGCATCCCCTCCCCGACGACAAGAAGCACTGCTTTGTAGGACTTGAATAACAGATTGCTGCCCTTAGTTGTTCCCTGGCATGACTATTTTTTCCCAGGTGCCCCATTGTATACCCTATGCTGTCCTAACCGGCGACCCTACACAATTCCATACTACATCGTCTTCATCGTCTTTGCCACCTCAGGGGAAGAGATTCTGGATGCAAGCTGGAGCCATCCTGGCTTTGCAGAGGGCCACCAGGTGCCACCTTGTTACAGAGGGAACCTGATTCGGAAAATCTTGCTTTAGTTTAGGGCTTGTAGGGTTTATAGTTTATAGAGCTTTCTTATTCTACAAAGTCGGGTCCCGAAAATAGGTCCCATGCTCGGGACAAACTTGCCTTCGAATCTAGGGCTCCTTATACGTATGTACATACGGTGCATACATGTATGATATACGTGTATATATATATATATATATGTACATATATGCAGGCAGAGAGAGAGAGCGAGAGAGAGAGAGAGAGGCAGAGCGAGCGAGCGAGCGGGGGCCTAACAAGTGTATCAAACGGTAAGATCCTTTCTGCAAAAGGCATTCCCTCTGAATTGCCGGGATGCAACTAGGGCATCGGCCGGACGTGAACTAACAGGCATAAAACTACGTGTTCGACTGACCTTGCGAAGCCTCCGTGGCCAAGCATCAATTTTCGATGCCTAGCTCGGCTGCTCTACCCGTTCTAAGGCTCAGGTGGACTTGACGCACTTCTTCAAGGTTGTGTCGTAGCCTCTGCTCGGGACTCGGGACAGTCTGCGCCGAGACTATGCAGCGCTGAAGCTGCGACCACCAAGCCGGTGCCCTGAACTCCAGCTTAATCCTACCAAGGACGATAGTATCTTAGACTCGAGTAGATTTTATTGAACTCTTTCTGTTTATTCTGATTATATCATTTTGAATATAGCAGGGTACGTAAGAAAGTAAAACTTCGGTAAGAGTCGCTCATCTTGCCACCGGGATGCAGTAGTGGAGCTTGCACTTGCATTTGTAGCTGCCCATCCCATGAACCATGCCATCACACACGGTTTTGCCTGAGATTCAGCACTCTGCACTGCAAACAACCGACACCAAGCTAGATGCAAAAAGCGGCCACCTACTGCCGAGGAGTGCTTGTCCCCACCCCGAACCGCCGCTGCGAGAAGCATCTAAGCTTGCGCGCGTACACTGTGGGCATTTGGCTAGCCTTGAGAAGGATGAGGACCAACAAACAAGATCAGAAAAGAACGCAGCTGCAACTTCCTCGAGCCCAAGAGCCCTGGAGCCCAAATCCCAGAGTTCCAGAACCCTAATTCCTGAACCCTAAATCCTGGACCGTCAAGCTCCAGAACCCCGAATCCGAACTCGGCAACCGAGCTCAGATGCCAAGTTTTTTGTCGCAGTCCGCCCATCGGCAGGACACGCCTGAGAGGCAACGGTCACTCAGGGCTCACAGTCCGGAGAGAAATCGCATGAAAGCAGCGATGCCGACATTTCACATACCACATGTCAAATACAGAGGCCGTGTGAGCAGGGTTTTCTCCTAAACCCGAAACCTGCAGATATTGCGATATATATATATATATATATATTGCTATATGACCGAGATTTACCAGAGTAAATACGATATAGTGTGCGTATATATATATATATATGTGTGTGTGTGTGTATGTATGTATATGTATATATATATATATGTATATATATACACACACATTTATGATATGCGATATTGCGATATTCTATAGTATGTATTGGTACTGATGTAAGCCGACACCTGCCTGTGTCACCGCTCTTGCAGGTCGACGCGGAGCTTGGTGGACTCGTCACGGAACTGTCAGAGACCAAGCAGTGGCTTGGGGGTTTAGGGTTAGGGTTTACAATCTCTCGCAACTCGGACTGCTCACCTCTTGTCACTGAAGTTTGCCCAGGGTTAGGGTTTAGTGGTTGGGGTTTTGGTTGTTGAGGGTAGGGCCGTAGGGTTTAGGGTATGAGAGACAGGCGTTACGGGGTCTAAGGCGATCGTCCTACATTGGAATGAAACATTGCTTTCTGGATCGGCCAAAATCTGCCTTAGCAAGCTGCAAAAAGGAAGCACCCAATGAGCACCGCTTGGTCTGGCACGGTATGGGGACTTTCTCAAGATCGTCAACTTCTCTCTAAGGAGCCATTCATATTGCTGCCAATGTCATCGGCGCCACTAAACGAAGTTGTTCAAGCCCGCGCTCTGGGTATACTGTCAAGAAGGGGGAATAGTTGCACGAGCAGCACAGGCAAATACAGAGGTAGTCCCTTCTCTATCCTACATGCAAATCCTACAAACGAAGGCTTGTAGTGTCCACAGGCAGCAGTCGCGCCGAGCTGCCTGACCCAAGACAGGCTATCCTCTTACATCATGACAGGGTAAGGTTTATGAAGCCCAAGATGTGAATAGCCCTAAGGGTCCAGGTAGTTCTCCAGTACATAGCTCACGCCGTGGCCTTAACGGGTTCCTGATTGTAGCAGCTTTGTCATGCTGTGTGTTGCAGGGATCTATACGTACAAAGACCCTGGCGCTTAGGGCTACCTACTCAGCTACGAAGCTGAGGCTTGCCGCCTGGGGATCGATGCCTTGACACACTTGCCACTCTTTGCACACAAGCCTTTGCTTGTGTCACCTGGGCGAAAAGTCAATGGACAGCAGAACATCTCCATGCTCAGAGAAGGGTACTGGACTTGAGCACTCTTCACGCGTTTAGACTCATGTTGAACATCTTTAAGCCAGGCAGGTTGCAAATACACTTTCCACTTTTGCACGTCGCCTTTCGACTTGAACTGCACCCGAACCTTGGTCAGACATGAGGGTGCCGAGTTGACATGTCAGGATTTTGATTGTCCGGCTTGTGATCTCTATGCCGCGAGCATGTGTTCATAGTTCTGCCAAGACACCAACTGCACTGACCTCCGGTGTCCTGAAGACATGCAGAATCATGCCGTCGCAATCGTTGTCATGGCGTCGAGCGCACGCGACCGACGGCTTCATTTCTACCTGTCATATTACCTAAGCAATCGCGGCACAAGTTCCGACTGAACCCCAAAAACCGACTTTGCGGACCTCGCTGGAAGTTGAAACCACGTCAAACGATCCTGTTTACAGGCAGCTGATGGTGGCGTCGTTGCAGCCCAATCCGTCTTACCCGGCGTTGGCGGAGGCCTTGCAGCATTGCGTTTCAGGGTTAAGGACTCAAAGCTGAGGTAAGGCTCACGGGACAGCATAGGAACGAGGGTGGATGAATTCAGGGCTTGGTGCACAGTCCTCCAATCAGAGAACAGGGCACAAGCACTGCACGCATAATGTTCTGACACTGCGGTTTTCCTTTTGAGTCTTGCTCATCAGAATATGGCTGCCTCACACAGCTGATAGCACGTGCAGTAAACTTGCATCAGTAGAGTCTTCTGTACTCTCTTAGCAAGAACTCTCATGACGGGCGTCGCTATGTCGGTGTGTGCGACTGATGGAGGTGGCGTGGTCGCCAGCCAAGGCGTGTACCTCCCAGTCTAGCTAAGAAGCTGTGTCCTCGAAACTTCTGTGATAGAACTCCATTCTTGTCAGGGATTGAGTTCTGGGTATTAACTCTCTGGCGGAGAACAAACGACGTTTCTATCAGAGTTCGGCATCCCAGCGTCTGTGTCTGGACATGTGCTTCCTGTGACAAGGCTGCCTTAAGAAGCAGACCCAAACGCGAAGCTCAACTCCCGAGTCACCCCAAACACCCAGGCCATGCCATGTCATGATGTGTACCAGGAATCAGCCCCCACCGTCCAAGGCCCCCAAACCCGAAGCCACCTACTTCCTACGTCCCCATCTTGGGCCCTATGCACCTTACTCTCCCATCTGGCACCTTTGTTTGGATACCTAGCCTCTTTAGCACAGCGCCAGCAAAAAGTTGTTAGCCGTAGCACATTAAAAGGAGCTATAACCCTTTTGCAGCAGGCCTCGTTGTCCAGCAGCCCGGTTACAGCAAAGAGCTCCCTTGTCCCCCCGCTTCTTCAAAGCAGCTATAACCCTAAACCCTAAACCAAAGAATCGATAACGCGAAATTCGGTCCCAGGTGGCGGTGGTGGAGCAGGGCCAGGAGGCGGCTGACACTGGTTGGAACAAAGCCTCCACTTTGTTTAGGGTTTAGGGTAAGACTGGGACTCTTTGACTCTCGGATACTCTCCGCTTACAGCTAGAATGAGGTTAGAGTTTGGATCTGAAGGTCTCGGGGGTTTAAGCTCCAAATTACGGTTTCGGGTTTAAGGTAATTCTAAAGAATCAACGGTTTCTGGCTTCTTTCTCGATGCTGTCCGCTGCCGTCAGTCATGGGTTCGGAGCTTCGGCACTCGCTGACGGGCCCAACTTTGGCTAGTCTCCTTGCTTGGAAGCACTACAGACGAACTACTCCACTAGTTCATTGTTGGGATAGGCCAAAAATGTACATTCTCATTCCTTATTGGGTTCAAGTACCCATAAAAATCTAAAATGCTACCGACTATGACGAAGTCAGAAATTGTATTTTAGGTATTCCGCAAAGGTGCGAACTCCCCCTTGCCTCTGATCCTGACCGGCGGTGTGTAGTACTACA